GGTCTTGACCGTAAACGTAGGCACACTGCTGAACCACATAAAATTCTTCTGTTCTTTTCTTTCTTCTTTTACTTTGGTGTAATTGTGCATACTTCAGGGATTAATTTTTTCCAACAGTACCTGTTAAGTAACTTAGCTATTAAATACTCACAAAATGTTATCATGCATTATGACAACAAAGTTACAATACATATTACAACAAATTATGTCTTCCATAAGAAAACTAAAGATGTAGAATTAAATTGTTATTTGATTTGTGGGAAGGTTTAAAATAGAAACATTAAGACAAGACATGTCGAAAACAAATAAAAAGTTATAGATATATTCACCAAGGCATTCCCAAGTGGTTTCCTTCATTCTCATATGTCCAAGATTCAAGTAGAAAATATATACTCTCCATTTTGTAAGAGGATGTCAAAATACAGGTTTAACTAACCCAAATAGAGTCTAGGTTGAAATGGAAAGAATATCTTCTAGAACAAACCCTATAGTGTGCTTGTATATATATGTGTATGTATATGAGCATTTAGGGTAAAAGAAAATGACTATGTGCATTAGGAGTGTTCGTATGTCTCATTTCTTATAAGTATACAAAAGTTGTTTTCTCCATTGGAGAAAGTAGAACATTCAAGAAAAACAAAACCTAAACTTGTTAGCCTTTTTCCTCGCCATTCTTTGCTTAATTCTTTTTTCCCCCTCCTTTATTTGCCTCTTTTTCATCTCTTTCCATTTGATTCTCTTCTCACAGATCGACATAGAGCTTTATTTTCTTTGTTCGTAAGAAAATTTGTGTTATTTATGACAATTAAACTAAAAAAAAAAACCAAAATAAAAATTATTTATCTTTGTAATTAAACCGGCCTTTATAAATAAATTGACAATTTTCTTTTTGGAATGATATTCATTGTTTTTTTAGGTAGTTAGACACATTTGTTTTGGTATCCTTTGTCCCAAAATTATTCTAACTAGTGTTAAAATTCCATCTCCTACATAAAGGGTAATTTTCAAAAAAAAAAACTCGGCCCATTTTTATGGTATCTTTTGGGCCATATAAAGAATCCGAAACCTCACTATACAAAAATTGGCCCAAAATAATAAATCCTCTAGATCCAAGAAAGCTTACGGCCTCCAACTCTTAACTATAGGGCCGATGGTTGGGCCACATTAAATTTGTTGAGTAGCCTAAAGATGTTGTAGCTTCTTATTCTCTCGTGACATAAAACCTACTGTTCCAGCAATCGACATGGCTTGAGCTTTTTATATATATATAGATACACGCACATACACATACACATACACATACACATACACATACATATATATGATATACACGTACGCTAAAGTTTTCTATTTTACATCGGTCATGATTCACCTTTGCTCCAAATTGAAACATCTTTGACATTACAAAACTTCAACTATACATATTTTACCGGAGACCCTATAAAATTTTGATAACATTAGTCGCGTATACTTATCGTGACTCATAGAAGATTTTTTATAAGGCAAATATTTTTTACAAGACAAATTTTACCTCAAATACTGCCTCCAAGACTCTAGCGAGATTGACTTGGATAACTTTTATAGGGCTGTCACATAATTTTAACTCTTTTAATTTATACATCTATCTTTAGTAAGGTGTTATAGCACTAACCTAGTTTGAAAAATTGGTCTTTCATCCTACTTAGAATTCCATAACAGACCAAGAATACTTGACTTAGCATATTTGTAATAGTGGGTCAGTTTCAAAACCTGTTTGTTTAGAGATAATACATATAATTAATTAAACTATTTTATTTTGAATATTCATTCAATTATTCAATTCAAACCCAGAGAAAAGAAAAAACCTTTTAATATTCCTGCAAATTCTTGTAAGGATTTGTTCATCCAATTCTCTCATTCTTCGACCAAGGTCTTGCATGTTCTCTGGTTATGCAATTCAATTCTTATTCCTTTACTCAGCACAAAAGCATTCAAACTTGTTTGGAAATTAATACAGAATATATAAACAATTTGGTGAGAATAAAGGCAAAGCCAAGATACGTTTTTATTAGCACCAATCCATCAATTTGATTTCTGTTTTTGTCTGTAAAAAATGATATACATATAGATTCTATTCCCTTTGCAGCATGAATAGAAAAATGAAATTTGAAAATACTGTAATTAGATAGTGATTTATTAGCAGAATCATTTGATAATGATATGTCTTAACAACGCAAACTTTTTAACGGAGGAAATGCCCAATATTTTTGAAGTCATAATAAAATATTCATTTAAGACAATGTTCGGAAGAATGAAAATAAATTTTAATTCGTTTTGAAGTTAATATTTTAAAAATATATTTATAAATATTATACACTTTTCTTTTGTCAAATTCATTTATTTTAATGATAAAAAATTAATATCTCTCATTGTTAAATTTTCTTTGAAGTTATGCTCTAATAATTTTCTTTCCTAATATTTTTATTTCCAAGACCAAATTAAGAGTATATTTGAATTCAATAAAATTTTGAGAATTAAAAGATCAATTAAATGTAATATAGTACAAAAAAAATAGATTAAATGAAAATGAGTTGGTAAATAAAAATAAAAACAAATGATCAAATTAATTCTTGAAATTTGGCACTTAATTGTTATCGTTTGATTCCTGAAATAAAATGGTTGTACTATATATTTTGATGTTTAAAAAAAAAAAAAATCTTAACTAATTAATAGATTAATAATTTATTAATTAGTTAAAGTTATTTTAATATTTCTATCTTTAAATATACAAATATTACTTAATTATTTTAAAATATTAAAAATTCTAAAATTAATTTGATAATTTATCCTCTAAAAAATATATATATTTTATTGCGAGAACCAAATTCCCCTCAACCATTTTCCTTTTCCTGCTAAAAAGAAAACTTGTGATTATGAATCTTTGCTTTTTAACAGTTTAAAACTAAATTCTAAGAGAATGTGATTTGCCCACTTCAAGTCTCCTACTCCTGTGGCATAATACGTAATTACATACCCACATACACATTTGTTTAAATACATTGATTTTAATTCCTACAAATTGTCTTTAGAAAAGTAGGAATCAACCATAATATAATATAATACGGTCCCCAATTTTTCAATTTTTTTTTAAAAGAAAACCCAGAATGTAATTTCCTTTTCTATCACAAAAGATTAACTTGAAAAGTTAAAAATAAAGAAGGAAAATATCTCAGAATTTTTAATTAAAGGTAAGGAAGGGGTAATTGTTTTGTGAAATGATGATTGGGCAACCCAAAAGAGCGGTGAACAAAGGTATAGAAGAAGCTGGTAGATGACTTTAACTGGTCCCCCAATTGCAGAGTCAGACTGTCCCAAACCAAAATCCTCCAACACAATAACTTCTTTTGGGGATCAATTAGCCCCATGCCCATGCTTTTTGTGCCATTCTTGGACCAGACATTTCCATCTATACTCAAAATCTATACACTATCACTTGTTCCTCCTTTCCTCTCTCTCTGCATACATACATATAAATAACATATATTATGGGTTGGTGATATAATTTACTTAACAAGTCTCAATCATTTGCGATTTGGGATGAGGCCCAGAAGAATTTTTTGCGCATAATTTCAAATTCAGCATCTTGGTTTGGAGTTAAATGCGGTTAGGGCATGAGGTCCCTACTAGTTTTTTTTTTACACTGAAGAGATTTATTAATTAACACTAGAGGATATTCGCACCCGAAGGATATAGAACAGTAGCCTGGACAAGTAATCAAGTATACTATTTTCCTGTCAAAATCAAACTGCGAAACCTAATGCATAACATATACATGTATATGCGTGTATCTGTCAATATATAGAGGAACTATCACATCCCTGACCAAACATTTAACTACAACTACCCTTTTCTAATCAAACAGTTCCCTCCTAATCAATTTGGTTAAATATCTTCCCAAAGACTCAAATCAAAATTTTTGATCTCAGTCAAACTTTCTTATCACTGCTGTTTCATCGAAAGTTCAACATACTTTTCTTATTTTCCCACATCAGCTAATATCTCGCCAAGTACACCATAGCCAAAGCTTAGAGAAAATATATTATGACATACGCTGCGTGTGTGTGTGTGTGTGTGTGTTTACAGGTGAAGGGGGAAAGGGAAAGTCACTGGGAAGGGGCTTCTCCTGAATTTGCAATATTTTAGTTGATCACAGTTAGTCTTTTTTTCCTCTGCAGTGCTTTTTGCAGTAGGCAAATAATGAACAGAACTATCTCCAAGCTGGTATCTTGCTAGAATAGCTAGAGTTCAAAAACATCCTTGTTACTTGCAAAATGAGCAACTGGACCCCCAAAATCCAACCAAACACAGTTGGAATAAGAATTGTCCACACCCTCACAACTTGTAAGACTCATCATCCAACCCTTAAAAGCCCCACAAAGCCACAAAAATTCAAGGTCACTAAATATACACATATATATATGCATATATATCATATATATATATATATATATATATACACACCCCGCATACACAATATATGCATCGTGACACATACGTACGAATTACCTTATTAAAGAACTGGAAGAAAGGATAACAAAAAGAAGACTATGAAGACTAAACATCAAGGCATGCATGTTGTTTGCCTGAGAGAGTTTTGGATAGAGAATAAAGCTGGCAACTTTTGGAGCTTGGTTCCTTGTTCTTTCAATGTATTTACATAAGTCAAGATACCAAATACAAAAGAAAAAGTGCTTAAAAGGGTAATGCTAATTAAGTTTCAATTAGCTTTTTTGTTTTTGCCTTGCTACCTTTTCTTTTCCCTTTAAGATACAAAAAATACCAACTACTTTTGTCACTCTCTCTCCCTTCTTTTCTTTCTTTCTTTTTTTTTTGTTTTTGAAATTTCTAAATCATTCACAATCTTACCACACACCAACACCATCTTGCACTTTGTATATGACACCAAAAATCAGAGTTGAAAAGAAAGGAAAAGAGGGACTAGAACACCTTTTCTTTTTTCCTTTTAGTTTCTTTTGAACTTCTCATTTTCAATGTCTCTCTTTATAGAGCTATCTCAGTCTGCAAAGTGGTAGCATTGAACCCCACCTGTTGCTGTGCTTGTTGCTGCTGCTGATCAACTTCCCATCTGGCCTTGGCAATCACTCCATCATGCACTGGCACGTACTCCTAATCAAAGCCACAAACAAGAACAAAACAGTGTTATGTGCCATGCTATTATGTACATACAACCAAACACTCACTAAAAACAATACCAGACACTCAGACACCAAGATGATGATATGAGAAAAGATTCTTTTTCCAAACATCAGTTTGTCATTTCCATAAATGTGTATAGCCTTCATTAAGTTTTTATCATTTACTATGTGAAAAAAAAATATTTGCTTACGACTATAAAACAAGGAACCAAAAAACCCAGGTACCCACCTCAAGCTTTTGTACTAGCTCCCTGGCATTTGGTGCAGAGATAATGATGTGGCGCTGAGATGGTTTGATAAAGCCATCATCCACGGCTTTGTCAATGAAAGTCAGGAGGTAGTTGTAGTAACCATCAACATTTAGCAAACCCACCTGTACATATTCCAAACTAAAGTTACAAATAATGCTAATTAATACGCAATAACGGTACAAGAATTTATATGGGTTTCGTTTATAATAAACAATATTAATAAACAAAGAATCTATGAGTTACAGGCTTGTCATGGATGCCAAGCTGAGCCCAAGTGATTACTTCCAGCAATTCTTCCAATGTTCCATACCCACCTGAAAAAAACAAAGATAAGAGGACCAAGAGAGGAAACACTCAAATCATATTTAGGCAAACAAAAAACTACTGTGTTGTTGCAGATCACTACATGTTTAGTGAGAGAGTGAGAGAGAGAGAGGGGTGGGTTGCGGGGGGAGAGAGAAGTGACCTGGTAAGGCAATAAAACAATCAGAGTGGCGGGCCATTTCTGCCTTTCTTTGGTGCATGTCGGCTACTGGCCTTACCTCTCCAACTGTTTCACCAGTTATCTGTGGCTCCCCATACAAGTCAACATTCTTTTATAAGCACCATTGAAAATAAAAGTACCAAGCTTTAAACAGAAAATGCAAAATTTGTTTGAACTGAAAAAACAAGCAATGATCTAAAACAAAGCTAAAGTGAGATTATTTCTATTAATATTTACCTCTTTGCTCATCAGGGTTCTGGGTATGATCCTGTGAATCATAAACACAAACATCCAACAAACATAAATATTATTTTCTAGCAAAAATATGAAAAGTTAGGCAAAGGAAATAAGCATTTTCATAGCTTTACCCTAGAACATTGCCTCCTGCTCCATGAACAGCCTGGGAGACCAAACCCATTAACCCAATACTTCCTCCTCCATATACAAGGTCCAATCTCCTTGCCACCTTTCAAGACAACACAGATAAATAACACACCAAGTAAACTGTATATATCAAAATCAAAATGACCAAGAATGAATAAGTAGCAGCCTTTATTAATCAAGCAGTTTAGCATATATGCATGTATATATACATATAGGGAGGGGGAGAGAGAGAGAGAGAGAGAGAGGAACATTGATGATATCGTACCAGCTCTTGTGCTAATTCAATGGCAGCATCTCTGTAGCAGTTTCTCTTGCCAGTACTACTGCCACAGAAAACACACACCGTCTTGAATCTTGACTTCACAACTTCAACATCCATGCTTTTTTTCTATTGAAACAGTTTCTTTGGGTATTTGGGTTTCTTCCAATACAGAGTTTTATGGAAGCAAAAAGGGAAGTTGAAAAGTTGTGGGACAAGGCAAGGCCAGGTAACCCTCTTGCTTCACTTGGCTACACAGGACATAAGCAAAATGAAGGTCGCCACAATAGTGTATATATAGACTCCGCCAACTTACATACACACACTATTAGGATATTGACTCAAAAGAAATCTTAAAAACAAGAAAGAAAAAAAAATTTGGTAGCCTCCTAAAAGTTTTTAGATAAATATTATAAAAGGGGTATTTTCTTTTGTAAGAAATTAAAAGAAAAATAAAAGAGAAACGAGTATGATGATTGGACAGGGAAGAAGTAAGACAAAAAGGCAAAATGGAGACAGAATGGGGAAGTATTGTAGGCCTGTACACCACTCCCCACGGTTTACACGTGTCAAAATATGATGCAAGAATCATGAAGATTTCGTCTTCATCCCTGTAAGACATGGCTTATCAAATCAAGAATTTTTTTTTTATAAAAAGAAAGAAAAATTTTAAAAATGGGAGACAAAGGTTTTGTCTTTCTTTAATGCACGCGATCATAACTTTGTGGCTGCTATAACACGTGCAGCAGGGTCTCATCTCATCTGATCAAATCAGAGATTAATTATTGATCGTTAATGTTTAATATAATTAGTATTGTGTATTAAACAATCCATTGGCTTGGACAGTTATTAGAGCCTCAAAACAGATAGCACCAGAGATTATCAGCTTAAAAAACTGGTCTACTCTACCCAGATTTCTTCCTCTGAGGATGATCATCTGCGACAGTTTCTTCATCTTTCATTTCCAAAAAAACATAATGATAATAATAATACAAACCAGAAAAACCCAGAAAGAAAAATGGAAAAATAAACAAAGAAGATGAGAAAGGCTACAAATTTGATCTCCACTAGCAGCATCTTTGTCCACACACTAAAGCAAATACTCTTCCACAAGTAAGCTCCATTTGTAAAGAGCGATTTTCTTTTGAAGAAAAAGAACGCCCAGTATTTCCTGAACACCTGTATTATATACAGAAAATCTTCAACTCGTGTTATTTCAAGATCAGAGTAGACCACCATCCTAGCTTCCAAGCATGAGCTCCGTTTAAATTTTACTCCAAATTCTAATTTTATTGAATAAATATAATTTTAGCTCTGTTCCAGTTAAATTAAGTAAGTTGGTAATATGTTTAGGATAAATTTACTTTAAAAAAATAAAATTATATCTGTTTAATTAATGATGAAACTAATGGGTTTTTATAAAAATACTAACTTTATTTTTAAATTTTTGTAAAAATTTTATTTTTACCGCCATGTTTTTACATTTTCCAGTTAGAACAAAAAAAAAAAAAATTGTACTAAATTGAAGAACTCTGTTCTAACAATTGGCAATTTTTAAAAATGAGAAAGAGTTTTGTCATTTCACAATTGATGACAGAAGTAGCTGAAAACTTTCACTTTTCTAGTTATCCTCATAGCCCAGCAACAGTTTGGTTATCCCCAGAAAAAGAAGAATGGTAATTTTTGCGGAGCCAACCAAACTTTCCAAAGGTGGCGCGTGATCATCAAACCATGAATGAAACCCAGACATCGACGTTCCCTCCATCAATCATGTCATGTCCACTCGTGTAACTTCGCCGCAACTTCACACGCGCCACCGTGCATCCTGACAATCTAAATATAAAACCGTCGAATTAATGATTTGAACTTTTGTAGTACTTTCTACCTAAAAATAAACAAATTTTTTTTAATTATAATATTATTTTTTCAATAATTACAATTGTCGAAATTTAATGATTATTAATATTTAAGATTAATTTCGTAAGCTATTCATATTTAATTCTTTTACCAGTATATGGGTTCAAAATTTCATATATAATATAATTTATGTGTATATGCATTTGTTATAAATATTAATTATAATTTGTGCATTTTTGTATTATAGTTTACGTGCATGTGTTATTTTAAACAAAATATATAATTTTATTCAAAAATAATAATTTAAAATAAATAAAAAAAATCTTAATAAATCCTATATAAATCATCTCTTATAATCTTTAAGAACTTGTAGTAAAGGTTAAATCAAATATGTTAAAATATCAACAACAAAAAAAAATGCATGTACTATTCGGCCAACAGATTTTTAGTATTTAAAAGAGTTCTATTTTATTTATTTGAAAATTTAATCGATTAATTATAGTGCAAAATAGTAATTTTTTTATTAATTTATAAAAATTTAATTCTCAATAATAAATTTTAATTATTCAAGTAATTTATTATGGAATATTAAAATGATGATATAAAAAACATAATATAGTTTAAAACTTAATTGAAATTGCTTTGATTTTGGTATTATTTTAGGGGTTTGGTTTAATTTAATTAATAGTTTATTGAGATTAGCCTCCATTAATTTTGTTTTATTGAGAAGCAAAATTAAGAACTCTCACACGCGGACAACATCTGGTCTGGGCATTGGGGAGGAGGAGAGCATCAAACAGGGGGACGGACCCACTTGTTCATCTTTCTAATTTTCATTTTTTTTAAAAAAAATTTATCTTTTCAGCACAAATACATACATAGCATATATAGGATATGGTATGTGTATATATAGGCGCTCTGTTCACTCCCTCTTTGCCACGTTTTCATTAAATGCCTATCCCCTCAATTTTTCTTCTGCACTATCTCACCAGTGTATGTCAGTCCACGTGTCATCACCAGATTGCATAGGTGGCATCAACTGGGTCCCACAGAAACGTCTTTAATTTTAATTCTTCATCATCTTCTTTTTTTCTTTTTTTTTTCTAAAGCTTGTGTATTAATTACTGTATTTTGAAAAGTATAATAATATGTAAGATTACTGGTAGGGAGTGGCTGCATGCATGCATGCATGGTGTGGAAACAATTGTGTACCATAATTTTTACATTAAAAGAGTAATCATGGGCAAAGCTGATGAGATCAACGGTGGAAAATTCATATCAGCCAACAGTACCTCTACTACTACGGGGCCCACTCTTGAGAGAATGGGAAAAAGCTTCGATTCATCAGAACAGATTTATATTTGGGACTTGTGTTCTTAAATTAAATTAAATTAAATTACATTATTTGATTTTGAGCAAACAAAGATTGTTATTAATAATAAATAATAAAAATTAAATTAATTGCTGTGACCATAAGGGTAATGGGGTGATCTGAGCACAGAGCGGCGCAATCATTATCCTGCGCCGTCTCTCTTGGTCATTGGACTGTACTCATCAAATCAATATATGTATATGTATATCTATATCGACATTTACAATTACACCCCTTTATCCTTCAATTCAATTTTGTTGGTTTTCCTTTTTAAATTTTTTTACGTTTAATTTTTGTGTGATAGAAATTTTAAATTAAAATTAGAGTTAAAAAGTTAATTTCATGTCATTAAATACATTTAGTTTTATCTATATCGATGATTTTTTTGTCAATTAATTTTCGTTGTCTAAATTGATATTATAATTTTAAGTAAATTAAATATTGAAAAAACATAAATAATGAATGAACTAGTTTTATCATGAATTAATTCTACTTTTTTTAAAAAAAAGAAAATAAAATAAAAATATTGTTTGTTAGAAAAATAGGTTTAGATATGTAACATGGGAAATCGAGAAGGCGTGATGATCGTCAATCGTGTCCGTCCATTTGATTGATTGTTAATGATGATGTTTAGGTTGCAGTGCCACATGCTATGTTCTAGTGGCTGTAGGTGCAGGTGTTTTATGATCAGGGCCACACGCCCAACCAATCATTTCTTCCCACTTCATTTCTATTTTTCATTTTGCTAAAAATATGATTGTTAATTTCCTAAAATTACTTTATAATAAAATGAAATTAGATATGTAAATATAAATATTATACTTATATAAAAAGCATTAAGAGTATTATTTACGTGAATGAAAATTATATAATAATTAAAATTTCCTAATATAAATATTAAAAACTGTCATCTCTGAATTTTTGATGAAAAATTCAACAAAATAAATTAGACGTGAAAGGAATTAAGTCATTAAAATTTTATTAGCACATTATGAAAACGGAATTTATATAAAAATAAAAAACTATGGTATAAATATAAAAAAAATTAATTTCTTATAAAAGATCTGAAAAATAAATGAAGTATACAGAAATATAAGTAATTAAAAATTTATATATTATATAAATTTATAATTTATAGTTAATGTAAACATCAATTATATGAAAATATTATTATACTTATTTACTATTTTTATATTTAAAATATTTTTAAAAATAAATAAATAATTATCATTTAAATATAAAATAGTTATTAAAAAATAAGGAATTGTTGCATTACCATAAATATTATACATTGAAAATAAGATGTCTCCTCGCAGACATCCCAAACACATTGAAAGTAAGACTTTTTTTATTTTTCCATATTTTATGTGCCTCCAACACTTTTGATGAGAATGGTAAGAGTCGGATTTGAATTGACTTTTTGCACTAATTAATTAATTTATACACTTAATTCGATTCAATAATTACCCAATTTAATCCTACCAATTAAATAAATTTATATTTGTAATAATTGGGGAAAAAAAAGATATATATATATATATATATGAACAAATAAGTAAATAAAAAAGAGAGAGTAAAGCGCGAAAAGGACTGTGTAGATTAAAGAAAAAGAAAGGGACCACCAAGATGAATCACAAGTGAAGTATAAATAAGCCAAGGAAATAGGGGAAAAAAAAAAGCAAAAAAGAAAAAAAGAAAAAGAGAAAAGAAAAACGAAAAGAAGGGAGGAAAAAGGGAAATCGGTCGAGTAAGAAAAGAGAACGAGTGGACCGAAGGAGAATAACAGATTCAGGTAAATCGGAAGAGAACTGTTGCTGAGTTGAGGACGATGGTGATAAGAGGTAATGTAAACTTAAATATTGCAAACATTGAAATGACATTTGGAATTTGAGTCTCTCCAGTGTAGTAGGGACGATAGAATGAATCGGAGGAGGTCAGTTTCTAAAGGAATAAGTGAGTAAAGGAGGGATTATGGTTACTAGAAGGTTCGATTAGGACTGTAAATGAAGAAGAGTGGGGAAATCCGTGGG